AAAAAATCCAGCTTTGCAAAGGCTGAGAAATCTCCTTCTCAGGAAATTTCCTCTGTTTTCTTTTTTCCTGTTCAGCCAATGGTTCAGATTACTAGCAGCTTCCTTGAAATCTGAGGAGGAGCAGAAACTGGGTTGCCTGTCTCTGGATATTGAAGGGAGCCCACACACATCCCTGGCTGTGCTCTCCCAGCACTTTCATGAAGGTGCCCAGGATTGCTCCCTCTGGGGACACCGTAAACCATTTCCAGGAATGCTAGAAATAATCCCCCCTCTCCCCACCATTTCCTTCTGCAAACAGAGGAAGAATTGGAGTCCCTGATAGCTGGGGTTTCCTAGGCCCACCTGCCAGTTGATTCTCTCTAGACATTGAGAGTCTTTTCATGTTGCATGGATGGATCGATGCAGAAGGAAAGTGGGGTTGCTTTCACTGAATGGCACTGAAATCTCTCAACTTGATAAAACCTGCCTGAAATATTTTTTCAGTCAGAAGCTTTTGGCTCTGTCCATTTTCATACCCTAAACCTTGGAATCCTACCAGGCATAGCCATTTTACTTGGTATATATCTTTGCTCTGGGAATTGGTGAACAATAGGACAGGTCTTGCAAATCCTCCTGGGCCTGTTCCCTTCTTTTTTTCCATCTTCAGGAGCGTCTTGTGTTCTTCAAGGATGTGGCCGTATGTTTCTCCGAGGAGGAGTGGTCTCAGCTGGATCCTCACCAAAAAGCGCTGCATTGGGAAGTCATGCTGGAAAACTGTAGAAATGTGGCCTCTCTGGGTAAGGGTTTCCTACCCTCCAATCAGAGTTCAGGAAGACATTTTGTAGTTAGATGCCATCAGCTATTTCTTATTCAAAAGAACTTGATGTCATTTGTTTGGAGGGAGATGGAAAAGATATGGTGTTCTTCTGCTCCAGGGAAGGAAATAGCTCAATGGCTCTCTGTTTAGATGCATCCTGTGCCATTTCCCAGCTGGTGAATTTTTTCATGTCCTTTTAAACAGATCAGTGAGAAACTAGCTCCTTGGCTTGAGGAGGAACTAAACTCCATCACACTGATTTCAGCTTTTTGGACTGACATGCTTCCCTGTCTGTCCTCGGAAGGACTGTCATTTATTCAGGCTCTTGGCTTAGTGACTTTTCTTCCTTTTCATTTCTATCCTGAGCCTTGAGATGGAGGGGGAAATGTTGCTGTGTTTCCATTGCAAAGATGTTCTTT